GAGGCCGGACGTCGCCTTCGCCTGCAGCAAGCTGGGGAGTGGCCTCACGGTGAGGAGCGACCAGCACTGGCGCGAGGTCGACCGCTGCCTCGCCTACTGCCAACACGCGTGACACCGCCCTGGAGTTCGACGGTGGACCTGAGTCGCTGGAGCTGGTCGGCTACGTGGACGCCGACGACGCCGGTGACAAGCAGAACAGGACGAGCACGGGCGGCTACGTGTTCGTCTACAGAGGGGCCGCAGTCTCCTGGTCGAGCCAGCGCATCAAGTGCACGACGTTGTCGTCGACCGAGTCGGAGTACGTGGCGGCCACCGAAGCCGGCAAGGAGGGACGCCGACTTCGCTTCCTCCTCGCAGAGTTTCAGAAGCTGGATGTTGGGAAGTCGACGGTCCTCCGGGTGGACAACAAGTCAGCCATCACGGTCGCCGAGGGCATGGGGTTGACGGGCAACCTCAAGCACATGGAGCGGCGACAGGCCTGGCTGCAGCACATGGTGAAGCGTGGGAAGTTCTCGCTGAGGTACATCCCGACCGCTGAGCAGCCGGCCGACTTCCTGAAGAAGGCGCTGCACTATCCGGCCTTCAACCGGTGCCCCGTCACCATCGGCCAGGTGCGCTTGGCGGACGTGGGCGACGAAGTTGACGAAGTGCAGCAGTAGGTGCCATGCCCTCTTGTATGGCTGGTGTGGTGGACGACGTGCTGTGTGTTGGGTGCACGTCGACGAGTTATTCTCTGAGGAGTACTGCCGTGTGGGCTGGGGGCCCAAGCGTGAACGCGGCAGGGGGGTGTCAACGGGAGTTGTGTGTTGGCCTCGTCCTCGCTTGGGCGGAGCCGACTTCGTGGTCGGTTGTGAGGGGAGAAGCCGACCTGCAGCAGTGGGCGAGCTGGTTGACGAGGAGGTCGACCTGCACGGAGACCACTGCACGAGCGCCGACTTCAGGGTGGCGCCGACTTTAGGGAGGTCGACCTAGGAAGTCGACCTGCGGAGGGCGTCAACTTGGTGACGCCAACTTGGGGCACACGATTTGGGTGGTCGGCTGACGGACCTGCTGGTCGACTTGGTGGTAGGTCGACTTGGTGGTAGGTCGACCAGGTGTGATGTCGACCTGCTGGTGGTCGACCTGACCTAGTGGTCGACGGCGGAGGAGCCGACGTCGACCTCGACTCAGGACGCCGAGAAGTTGGGCGTCGAGTAGTAGGGCGTCAACTTGGGTGACGCTGACTTCGGGTAGCCGACTTGGGAGGTCGGCTGACAACTGCGCTGGTCGACGAGGAGCAGGTCGACCAGGAGTGCTACTCGACATGGAGCTGGTCGACCAGGAGGGACGCCGACCTGGATCTGGTCGACCAGGGGCGTGGTCGACCTGGTGAGGTCGACTTGGGGTGGCCGTCGAATGGGGAGGTCGACGGGCACATACGGGAGCAGCTGGTCGACGTGGTTGCCCGGTCGACCAGGTTACCTGGGTGACGAGGTTTTGCGAAGGAGTGCGACGGTCGCCCAGGCGAAGTTGGCGAGCCCGACCTCGGTGGTGGTACCCGAGGTCGACATGGCGGATCAGGTGGAGTCGTCAGCACGAGGATGACTTGGTGTGTGCGTTATACAGGTGACGAGGCTCAGCCCGCCAATCATCTGTGAGCACCTGCGAAGCTGGTGCGATGTTGTTCTGCGGGAGCAACGCTGGCACGCCGTCAACCCGCGATGTTGGCACGCCGTCGACTTTGCACTGCTGGAGCGCGGTCGACCAAGTCGTGCTGGAAAGCGGTCGACCATGCTGCGGTGACAGTCGACCGACCTGAATGCTAGCTCTGATGTAGTCTTGCCATGCCAACTTCATTGTACCATTGTTCTGAACTTTTCCTAGTGGAACTCTTGCCAACTTTCCCCGTGAACTAGCAAATAGTGTGCGCACAAGGAAACGACTAAGGAATGAACGAACGCAGAGATCACACGAGCACCCGTGCCTAGCCCGTAGTCTAGCTCCCGTTGTAGTAGTTATCTCCGCACGGCTGACAAGAGTGCTGGTCAACCTGGAGCTGGTCTACCAGGAGTGCCGTCGACCTGGAGCTGGTCGACCAAGGGTGTGGTTGACCTAGGAAGGTCGACTAATGGTGGTTGTCGACTTGGGAGGTCGACGGGCACGCGAAGGAGCAGCTGGTCGACGTGGTTGCCTAGTCGACCAAGTTACCTGGGTGACGAGGTGCTGCGGAGGAGTGCGACGGTCGCCCAGGTGTTTGTGGCGAGACCGACCTCGGTGGTGGTATTCCGAGGTCGAACGGCGGATCAGATGAAGTCGTCAGCACGAGGACGATTTGGTGTGTTCGCTGTGCAGGTGACGAGGCACAACACGCCAATCATCTGCATGCACCTGCGAAGCGGGTGCAATGCTGTACTGCGGGAGCAATGCTGGCTCGCCGTCGACTTGCGCTGTTGTCACGCCGTCGACCTGCAGCGCTGGCGAGCCGCGACTCTGCAGTGCTAGAGCGCGGTCGACCAAGTCGTGCTGGCACGCAGTTGACCATGCTGCGCTGGCAGTCGCCTTGCTTGCATCCTAGCTCTGATGTAGTCTTGCCATGCCAACTTCTTTGTACCATTGTTGTCAACCTTTCCTAGTGAAACGCTAGCCAAGTCTCCCCGTGAACTAGCTAGTAGTGTGAGCACTTGGAAACAAGTAAGGAACGAACGCAGAGATCACCATGTCACCCGTGAACTAGCCCGTAGTCTAGCTCCCGTTGATAGAGCTATCTCCGCACAAGGCACTTGGTTACGTGAGCTTCTCATCGAGCGTTATGTGGAGAAGCGGTGCATGCGGGTGCACCAACAGAAGTACCTGGAGGCCTTGGCTGCCAACTTTGGGCAGGGTGAAGGTCATGTGGCTACTCCCTTTCCCTCTGGGTTCAAGTGTGTGAAGGGACCAGAGGAGGAGAGCGTTGGCGAAGAGGAGAGGCGCCGATTTCACTCATTGGTGGGCAGCCTCATGTACGCGGCAGTCAACACACGACCGGACGTCGCGTTTGCTACCGGGGCAGCTTGCAAGGGTTGTGCAATGCCCTAATGAGGAGCAGGTAGCAGCTGAAAGCATCGACCCTAATGGATGATGACAAACCCCGCGAAAGCATCAACGCCGAAGTCTTCTACGACTTCGCTGACAACGGTTACGTTACACCCGCACGAGTCAACATTGACGAAGCAGAACGCATAGGGCCCAATTTCTTACCTGATCCAGAAGCGAGAGACGAAGCAGCTTATCCCGAGGACGCAAATCTTCACCGCTACACACAGAGTGGACTCCAGATACTCGGCCTCGTCACCGCAGTCCACGGCACGGCGCCACCTAAGGAGCCTGCCACAGTTCAGCAGGCTCTGGGGGGGGAACACAGGGAAAAATTACGCGAAGCCATGGACAAGGAATTAAAAGCGCTGGAAGAACGCAATACCTGGAAAATCGTTCCCATCGGCGTGGCACGCGACAAGACAATCTTCACCGGGAAATGGGTTTCCCGTGTGAAAACCAAAGCAGACGGCACCATCGACAAATTCAAGGCGCGCTGGGTCGTACGCGGCTTCGACCAAGAGCACGGACGGGACTTCACCGAAACGTTCGCGCCGGTCAGCCGACACACCTTTCTACGGATTCTCCTTGCGATAGCCACCATGAAGAAGAAGAAGCTACGCCAAATCGACATCGCCAACGCCTTCCTCTACGCACCTGTCGATGCTGAAATCTTCGTCGAGCAACCGCTGGCTCCAACGCAGACCCAAACCAAGTCTGTCAGCTACTGAAGTCTCTGTACGGCATCAAACAAGCCCCGAGGCTATGGCAGCAGTATCTACGCGCGCGACTCATTCGCATCGGCTTCCGTCAGCTACCGCACGGCCAGGGAATGTACCGGCTCACAAAAGGCATCGACTACATCCTGCTGATTGTCTACGTGGATGATCTACTCTACATCGGCTCGACCGACGGCATCACAACTTGGTTCGAAGGGGAGCTGCAGCGGGACTTAACGCTCACCGTATCATCCACCGTGACACAATACCTCGGGCTCAACATACAGGAAGAAGAGAACGCGATCTACCTCAGCGCCGCGAAATACGCCGACACCATCGCCAAACGCTTCGGACTCACCCCAGCTACTATCTCCACGCCATATCGCTACACCGCCGGCATACGCGACTACCAACGAAAGCTGGGATGTCTGCTCTTCGCAGCCGTCACTTGCCGACCGGACCTCTCGTACTCCGCAAGCCAACTCGCCACCTACCTCAAGAAACCCGAAGCAGAGCACATGGCGGAGCTCGACCGCGCACTCCACTACCTCGTCAGCACTCCAACGATCGGTCTAACCTACCACAAGACTGGAACTACCGGTACGAGGCCAAACTAATCGGCTACGTCGATGCTGACCACGCCGGCGACTCTGACAACAGGCGCTCACACACTGACTACATCTACAGACTCGAGCCTATCGGACCTATCTCGTGGCAGTCGAGCAAGAAAGAGCTAATAGCTCTTTCCTCAGCTGAAGCAGAATATATTGCGCTCTGCTTAGCCACCAAGGAAGGATTATACCTCCGCGAACTGCTGGAAGAAGCGAAGCTGGCCTAGTTACCCAGCTTCTCTCTGTTCTGCGACAACCAGTCAGCAATTCGCATCGCCAACAACAATGGATTCGCGAACAGAACGAAACACATCGCCCTGCGATATTTCTTCGTGAAAGACGAGATCGAGAAGGGGAGACTCGAGCTGTCCTACTGTCCCACGTCTGAGATGGCAGCCGATTACTTGACCAAGAAGCTCGGAAAACAGAAGTTCGAGTACTGCATGCTGCTGACTGGAAAAGGCCACGTCACCAACTGCGACACTCCAGAAACGAAGGGGAGTGTTGGAAACAAGTAACTTAAAGCCCAAGACCTGAATTACAAAGAAAGGAAGGCAAACTGTGCACAGTTTGCCTTCCGAGCCCACAGTTGACTTCCCGAGCCTCTCTGGTTACCAAAATGACGCCCCGCCAAAAACCAGGGAGTCGTAGAGCAGCGGAGGTTTGGTTGGCGAGAGTCCCAACCGTTCCCTCCTGAAAGGAGTAGGGCAAGCTGTGCACAGTTTGGAAATTGTTGTAATTCAGGTCAAGCTCGACCACATAGTATGCACGAGAAACTCCTAGGTAGAACAGAAAGCCAATAGAGCTGGAGCCCACGAGGGGAGGGCTGCGCATGAAAGGCAGGCGGAAAGAGGGGGACGAGCGGTGCAAGGAGGAGGATTAGGCTTTGCGCGGGATCCGGCGCGCTGGGAGGAGTTGGTGCGCGCGCTGGATGCAGCGGATTCACGCGCGGGGGACGCCGAGGCGAGCGTAGCGAGTGGGAGCGGAGGCGAGGGGAAGGACGGACAGGGAAGCGCAAGCGGGTGGGAAGGAGAGAGTACCGGGGATAGGGAAGTGCTGGCAGCACCATCGCACATAGACGCCGCGCTGACGCATGGCGGCCAGGAGGTGTCGCAGGGAGGCGAGGGGTCGGATGGAGGCAAGGAGGGGTCGCAGGAAGGGGAAGCGGTGCGGATAAACAGGCCTAGCGAGTGTTCCGTGAGAATATACGAGGTGCGTGGTGTGAGAATGTATACGAGGTGCGTGGTGTGAGAATATATGAGGTGCGTGGTGTGAGAATATATGAGGTGCGTGGTGTGAGAATATATGAGGTGCGTGGTGTGAGAATATATGAGGTGCGTGGTGTGAGAATATACGAGGTGCGTGGGGTGAGAATATACGAGGTGCGTGGGGTGAGAATATACGAGGTGCGTGGTGTGAGAATATACGAGGTGCGTGGTGTGAGAATATACGAGGTGCGTGGTGTGAGAATATACGAGGTGCGTGGTGTGAGAATATACGAGGTGCGTGGGGTGAGAATATACGAGGTGCGTGGGGTGAGAATGTATATGAGGTGCGTGGGGTGAGAATATACGAGGTGCGTGGGGTGAGAATATGTGAGGTGCGTGGTGTGAGAATATGTGAGGTGCGTGGTGTGAGAATATATGAGGTGCGTGGGGTGAGAATATATGAGGTGCGTGGTGTGAGAATATGTGAGGTGCGTGGTGTGAGTATATGTGAGGTGCGTGGTGTGAGTATATGTGAGGTGCGTGGTGTGAGTATATGTGAGGTGCGTGGTGTGAGAATATATGAGGTGCGTGGGGTGAGAATATATGAGGTGCGTGGTGTGAGTATATGTGAGGTGCGTGGGGTGAGAATATGTGAGGTGCGTGGGGTGAGAATATGTGAGGTGCGTGGTGTGAGAATATGTGAGGTGCGTGGTGTGAGAATATACGAGGTGCGTGGGGTGAGAATATACGAGGTGCGTGGTGTGAGAATGTATATGAGGTGCGTGGGGTGAGAATATGTGAGGTGCGTGGTGTGAGAATATGTGAGGTGCGTGGTGTGAGAATATGTGAGGTGCGTGGTGTGAGTATATGTGAGGTGCGTGGTGTGAGTATATGTGAGGTGCGTGGTGTGAGAATATATGAGGTGCGTGGGGTGAGAATATATGAGGTGCGTGGTGTGAGTATATGTGAGGTGCGTGGGGTGAGAATGTATATGAGGTGCGTGGGGTGAGAATATGTGAGGTGCGTGGTGTGAGAATATGTGAGGTGCGTGGTGTGAGAATATATGAGGTGCGTGGGGTGAGAATATATGAGGTGCGTGGTGTGAGAATATGTGAGGTGCGTGGTGTGAGTCTATGTGAGGTGCGTGGTGTGAGTATATGTGAGGTGCGTGGTGTGAGTATATGTGAGGTGCGTGGTGTGAGAATATATGAGGTGCGTGGGGTGAGAATATATGAGGTGCGTGGTGTGAGTATATGTGAGGTGCGTGGGGTGAGAATGTATATGAGGTGCGTGGGGTGAGAATATGTGAGGTGCGTGGTGTGAGAATATGTGAGGTGCGTGGTGTGAGAATATATGAGGTGCGTGGGGTGAGAATATATGAGGTGCGTGGTGTGAGAATATGTGAGGTGCGTGGTGTGAGTATATGTGAGGTGCGTGGTGTGAGTATATGTGAGGTGCGTGGTGTGAGTATATGTGAGGTGCGTGGTGTGAGAATATATGAGGTGCGTGGGGTGAGAATATATGAGGTGCGTGGTGTGAGTATATGTGAGGTGCGTGGGGTGAGAATATATGAGGTGCGTGGTGTGAGTATATATGAGGTGCGTGGTGTGAGTATATATGAGGTGCGTGGGGTGAGAACGTATGAGGTGAACACATGGAGCACATGGCGCGTGCATGCGAATACAAGTGATGGAAGTGATGAAACTGCCTCCCGTTGACCCCATCCTCCCTTGACCCCAACCTCCCGTTGACCCCAACCTCCCGTTGACCCCATCCTCCCGTTGACCCCAACCTCCCGTTGACCCCATCCTCCCGCCCCATCCTCCCGTTGACCCCATCCTCCCGTTGACCCCATCCTCCCGTTGACCCCATCCTCCCATTGACCCCATCCTCCCGGCGTTGACCCCATCCTCCTGTTGACCCCATCTTCCCAACCGAATTCGCCCCAACTCCCTCTCTCCCCGTCCTTCCCCACGCTTCGCCTCCCCTCCTGCCCGCCCATTGCGCCACATGCATGGGCGGCCGCGTATGGACTTACCACGGAGTCACCGCACCCGCCCCCCGAGGTGCACCTCTCCGCTGCGCTGCCCCCCGCGCCCCACCTGCACGACTGTGCTGCGCGCTCTGCCTTCCGCCGCGCCCTGGAGCAGCGCGGGCGCAGAGGGCAGGCGCCACGATGGGCGGACGCGGCAGCGCAGCAGTGTGAGGGCATCCCGCAACCCCCGTGGGTGAGAAGTGCCGGCATGCATCAACGCTATCACCGCGTTCCATCTGCCTCTCGCTGCACTTTCGTCAATGCGTGTCCTCCCATCGCTCCTCTCCAAATTCATGCCTCGCGCTGCTCCTTTCCAATCCCACGCTTCTCATCTCCCCCCTCACAAGCGCCACCGCATACCCTCCCCACTCTCACATTCCTTCCCCTCCCACCTCTCACCCTGCCCCCCCTCCTCCCCCCCCCCACTTACCCCCTCCTTCTCCCCCCCTTCAGGTGCGCGGGTCGGACGCGGGCAATCTGGGCGGCACGCGGGCGGCGCAGAGGGACCTGTGGGAGCACCAGTTCCCGCCACACCAATGCCGCGGCCGCCGCCTGCTGCTCGTGCACTGGCCCGCGCTGCCCCCCGCGCTCAACCGCTCCTGGACGAGGGGGGACGCTCAGGGGGTGGAAGGGGAGGGGGACGGGGAGGGGTTGGGGGAGTGGTTGGCGGGGGCGGTAGAGGCGATGGGGGAGGCGCTGGCAGTGGCGTTGAGCAGTGGGCGCGTGCTGGTGGCCGTGGGGGGGTCATTCGGCCCCGCCCTGCACCCCGCCTGCTGAGGTGAGGCGCACTCATGGGTGGTAGGCATGAGGGATGGCATGAGGGGTGGCATGAGGGATGGCATGAGGGATGGCATGAGGGATGGCATGAGGGATGGCATGAGGGATGGCATGAGGGATGGCATGAGGGATGGCATGATGGATGGCATGAGGGATGGCATGAGGGATGGCATGAGGGATGGCATGAGGGATGGCATGAGGGATGGCATGAGGCATGGCATGAGGGATGGCATGAGGGATGGCATGCGGGATGGCATGAGGGGTGGCATGAGGGATGGCATGAGGGATGGCATGAGGGATGGCATGAGGGATGGCATGAGGGATGGCATGAGGGATGGCATGAGGGATGGCATGAGGGATGGCATGAGGGATGGCATGAGGGATGGCATGAGGGATGGCATGAGGGATGGCATGAGGGATGGCATGAGGGATGGCATGAGGGATGGCATGAGGGATGGCATGAGGGATGGCATGAGGGATGGCATGCGGGATGGCATGAGCGGTGGCATGAGGGATGGCATGTGGGATGGCATGAGGGATGGCATGAGGGATGGCATGAGGGATGGCATGAGGGGTGGCATGAGGGATGGCATGAGGGGTGGCATGAGGGATGGCATGAGGGATGGCATGAGGGATGGCATGAGGGATGGCATGAGGGATGGCATGAGGGATGGCATGAGGGATGGCATGAGGGATGGCATGAGGGGTAGCATGAGGGATGGCATGAGGGGTGGCATGAGGGATGGCATGAGGGATGGCATGAGGGATGGCATGCGGGATGGCATGAGGGGTGGCATGAGGGATGGCATGAGGGATGGCATGAGGGGTGGCATGAGGGATGGCATGAGGGATGGCATGAGGGATGGCATGAGGGATGTCATGAGGGATGGCATGCGGGATGGCATGAGGGGTGGCATGAGGGATGGCATGAGGGATGGCATGAGGGATGGCATGAGGGGTGGCATGAGGGATGGCATGAGGGGTGGCATGAGGGATGGCATGAGGGATGGCACGAGGGATGTCATGAGGGATGGCATGAGGGATGGCATGAGGGATGGCATGAGGGATGGCATGAGGGATGGCATGAGGGATGGCATGAGGGATGGCATGAGGGATGGCATGAGGGATGGCATGAGGGATGGCATGCGGGATGGCATGAGGGGTGGCATGAGGGATGGCATGAGGGATGACATGAGGGATGGCATGAGGGATGGCATGAGGGATGGCATGAGGGGTGGCATGAGGGATGGCATGAGGGGTGGCATGAGGGATGGCATGAGGGATGGCATGAGGGATGGCATGAGGGATGTCATGAGGGATGTCATGAGGGATGGCATGCGGGATGGCATGAGGGGTGGCATGAGGGATGGCATGAGGGATGGCATGAGGGATGGCATGAGGGATGGCATGAGGGATGGCATGAGGGGTGGCATGAGGGATGGCATGAGGGGTGGCATGAGGGATGGCATGAGGGATGGCACGAGGGATGGCATGAGGGATGGCATGAGGGATGGCATGAGGGATGGCATGAGGGATGGCATGAGGGATGGCATGAGGGATGGCATGAGGGATGGCATGAGGGATGGCATGAGGGATGGCATGAGGGATGGCATGCGGGATGGCATGAGGGGTGGCATGAGGGATGGCATGAGGGATGGCATGAGGGATGGCATGAGGGATGGCATGAGGGATGGCATGAGGGGTGGCATGAGGGATGGCATGAGGGGTGGCATGAGGGATGGCATGAGGGATGGCATGAGGATGGCATGCGGGATGGCATGAGGGGTGGCATGAGGGATGGCATGAGGGATGGCATGAGGGGTGGCATGAGGGATGGCATGAGGGATGGCATGAGGGATGGCATGAGGGATGTCATGAGGGATGGCATGCGGGATGGCATGAGGGGTGGCATGAGGGATGGCATGAGGGATGGCATGCGGGATGGCATGAGGGGTGGCATGAGGGATGGCATGAGGGATGGCATGAGGGATGGCATGAGGGATGGCATGAGGGATGGCATGAGGGGTGGCATGAGGGATGGCATGAGGGGTGGCATGAGGGATGGCATGAGGGATGGCACGAGGGATGGCATGAGGGATGGCATGAGGGATGGCATGAGGGATGGCATGAGGGATGGCATGAGGGATGGCATGAGGGATGGCATGAGGGATGGCATGAGGGATGGCATGAGGGATGGCATGAGGGATGGCATGCGGGATGGCATGAGGGGTGGCATGAGGGATGGCATGAGGGATGGCATGAGGGATGGCATGAGGGATGGCATGAGGGATGGCATGAGGGGTGGCATGAGGGATGGCATGAGGGGTGGCATGAGGGATGGCATGAGGGATGGCATGAGGGATGGCATGAGGGATGGCATGAGGGATGTCATGAGGGATGGCATGCGGGATGGCATGAGGGGTGGCATGAGGGATGGCATGAGGGATGGCATGAGGGATGGCATGAGGGATGGCATGAGGGATGGCATGAGGGGTGGCATGAGGGATGGCATGAGGGGTGGCATGAGGGATGGCATGAGGGATGGCACGAGGGATGGCATGAGGGATGGCATGACGGATGGCATGAGGGATGGCATGAGGGATGGCATGAGGGATGGCATGAGGGATGGCATGAGGGATGGCATGAGGGATGGCATGAGGGATGGCATGAGGGATGGCATGCGGGATGGCATGAGGGGTGGCATGAGGGATGGCATGAGGGATGGCATGAGGGATGGCATGAGGGATGGCATGAGGGATGGCATGAGGGGTGGCATGAGGGATGGCATGAGGGGTGGCATGAGGGATGGCATGAGGGATGGCATGAGGGATGGCATGCGGGATGGCATGAGGGGTGGCATGAGGGATGGCATGAGGGATGGCATGAGGGGTGGCATGAGGGATGGCATGAGGGATGGCATGAGGGATGGCATGAGGGATGTCATGAGGGATGGCATGCGGGATGGCATGAGGGGTGGCATGAGGGATGGCATGAGGGATGGCATGAGGGATGGCATGAGGGATGGCATGAGGGATGGCATGAGGGGTGGCATGAGGGATGGCATGAGGGGTGGCATGAGGGATGGCATGAGGGATGGCACGAGGGATGGCATGAGGGATGGCATGAGGGATGGCATGAGGGATGGCATGAGGGGTGGCATGAGGGATGGCATGAGGGGTGGCATGAGGGATGGCATGAGGGATGGCATGAGGGATGGCATGAGGGATGGCATGAGGGATGGCATGAGGGATGGCATGAGGGATGGCATGAGGGGTAGCATGAGGGATGGCATGAGGGGTGGCATGAGGGATGGCATGAGGGATGGCATGAGGGATGGCATGAGGGATGGCATGAGGGATGGCATGAGGGATGGCATGAGGGATGGCATGAGGGATGGCATGAGGGATGGCATGAGGGGTAGCATGAGGGATGGCATGAGGGGTGGCATGAGGGATGGCATGAGGGATGGCATGAGGGATGGCATGCGGGATGGCATGAGGGGTGGCATGAGGGATGGCATGAGGGATGGCATGAGGGGTGGCATGAGGGATGGCATGAGGGATGGCATGAGGGATGGCATGAGGGATGTCATGAGGGATGGCATGCGGGATGGCATGAGGGGTGGCATGAGGGATGGCATGAGGGATGGCATGAGGGATGGCATGAGGGGTGGCATGAGGGATGGCATGAGGGCTGGCATGAGGGATGGCATGAGGGATGGCACGAGGGATGTCATGAGGGATGGCATGAGGGATGGCATGAGGGATGGCATGAGGGATGGCATGAGGGATGGCATGAGGGATGGCATGAGGGATGGCATGAGGGATGGCATGAGGGATGGCATGAGGGATGGCATGCGGGATGGCATGAGGGGTGGCATGAGGGATGGCATGAGGGATGACATGAGGGATGGCATGAGGGATGGCATGAGGGATGGCATGAGGGGTGGCATGAGGGATGGCATGAGGGGTGGCATGAGGGATGGCATGAGGGATGGCATGAGGGATGGCATGAGGGATGGCATGAGGGATGTTATGAGGGATGGCATGCGGGATGGCATGAGGGGTGGCATGAGGGATGGCATGAGGGATGGCATGAGGGATGGCATGAGGGATGGCATGAGGGATGGCATGAGGGGTGGCATGAGGGATGGCATGAGGGGTGGCATGAGGGATGGCATGAGGGATGGCACGAGGGATGGCATGAGGGATGGCATGAGGGATGGCATGAGGGATGGCATGAGGGATGGCATGAGGGATGGCATGAGGGATGGCATGAGGGATGGCATGAGGGATGGCATGAGGGATGGCATGAGGGATGGCATGCGGGATGGCATGAGGGGTGGCATGAGGGATGGCATGAGGGATGGCATGAGGGATGGCATGAGGGATGGCATGAGGGATGGCATGAGGGGTGGCATGAGGGATGGCATGAGGGGTGGCATGAGGGATGGCATGAGGGATGGCATGAGGGATGGCATGCGGGATGGCATGAGGGGTGGCATGAGGGATGGCATGAGGGATGGCATGAGGGGTGGCATGAGGGATGGCATGAGGGATGGCATGAGGGATGGCATGAGGGATGTCATGAGGGATGGCATGCGGGATGGCATGAGGGGTGGCATGAGGGATGGCATGAGGGATGGCATGCGGGATGGCATGAGGGGTGGCATGAGGGATGGCATGAGGGATGGCATGAGGGATGGCATGAGGGATGGCATGAGGGATGGCATGAGGGGTGGCATGAGGGATGGCATGAGGGGTGGCATGAGGGATGGCATGAGGGATGGCACGAGGGATGGCATGAGGGATGGCATGAGGGATGGCATGAGGGATGGCATGAGGGATGGCATGAGGGATGGCATGAGGGATGGCATGAGGGATGGCATGAGGGATGGCATGAGGGATGGCATGAGGGATGGCATGCGGGATGGCATGAGGGGTGGCATGAGGGATGGCATGAGGGATGGCATGAGGGATGGCATGAGGGATGGCATGAGG